GGGAGGGCAACCGCCGCAGGTTGTGGACAAAAAGGCTCACTGCGAAGATCCGGCGGGCGATCCGAGAGAAACCTTCAAGACGCGCCTTCGGCCCTCGCATTCGTCGGCTTGCCAGATTCATTTTCGAAGGATTCACTGTGACTCCACTCGCCCCGCTTTGCCCCGCCCCACCTCGCCTCACCTCGCCCTAGAGGATCACAGAGTGTTGAGTCGTTGCCCTGCTCCGGTACAGCGGAAGACAACTGATCTTCAACCTACAAGAGTGTGCGGGCGGTTTGCTGGAGGGAAGGAAAAAAAATCGCCGACATGGATTCTAGGATGAACCATGCGACCACACGTTTTCAGTGGTCAGAGGCACGAACACTGCCCAGTCCAGGTCCTCGTACAATGCACACGGAATGAGAAATGGATCGACGTATTCATTGGGATGAGCATGGTGCTGCAAGGGACCATCAACGAGAACACAGATTTTCCAGCAGCGAAAGACTCAAAGCAGAACCAGCATACATGAGCGAAGTCAAAAGTAGAATTACAAAGCCAAGAGCACACTCAACGAGGACACACTGACACTGAAGTCTCTTGATACAAACAGCGCGACTTCTCCCTACCCACCATCAATGCAACAACAATGTAGTAGTTCTCCAATGATGTGACTGCCTATACTACAATCCTGCTCCCTCACTACACAGCCTCTCTCTCTCTCTCTCTCTCTCTCTCTCTCTCTCTCTCTCTCTCTCTCTCTCTCTCTCTCTCTCTCTCTCTCTCTCTCCTCTTGCCAAACAATGCTGCAGAGTCAGACCACCCTCAGTGTGCTCTTTGGTCATCACCGGGTATTGCACAACAAAAAACAATCACTGAACAAATCGATAGTCAACAGGCTAACTTTTGTCAAAAATTTACTCTTCACGCCAACACCAGTGCCCTTTCTTCCACCTTGCCACAGCTATGACTGCCACAAAGGAGAGGTTGCGTCCAGCCTCCTCCCAACTACCTCACACCAGACTTCCCAGAGGCCTGGAGGCATTTTTTCAGCCTGCCGGGTCCTTTTTGCACGCGCAGCCTCTACCAAGAGCCACTGTGGCCTGAAGCCTCACAGCACTGCTCAAGTTTGCGGTATAAATCTCTCTCTCTCTCTCTCACACACACACACACACACACACACACACAGAGAGAGAGAGAGAGAGAGAGAGAGAGAGAGAGAGAGAGAGAGAGAGAG